ACGACTACGACTACTACGACTACTACTACTACTACTACTACTACTACTACTACTACTACTACTACTACTACTACTACTTATACTACTACTACTACTACGACCAGTCCACTACTACTACTACCACTACTACTACTACTACTACTACTACTACTACTACTACTACTACTACTACTACTACTACTACTACTACTACTCCTTTCCTCCACCTCACCCTATTATTACTCCTTTTCCCCCTCCCCATCCTTCGCCTCTTCCGTATCATCTTCCGCACCGTCACCATCATCACCATGGCCAGCATCATCATCACCATCTTCACCGTCATCATCACGATCGACGTCACAATCATCATTACCATCACAAGTTCCCTTACCATCGCCATCACCAGTTTCTTCACCAGCACCCTCAGTATCATCATCGGCCTCATCATGCTCGTCGCCGTCATCGGCATAAAAACATTAACCATCATAATCACCGGCATAACCACCAACACCATCATCGTTGTCACCATCGCCCCCAGAAGCGTTAACATAATCATCGTCATCATCATCGTCGTCGTCAGCACCACCGTCATCATCATCACCACCGTCGTCACCATCTGCAGTACCGGAAGCAGCCGTATCACCATGCAGCATCAGCATCGGCATGCGCATAAGCATCAGCATCCGCATCGACATCTGCATCTTCATCACCATCATCAGCATCAACATCACCTTTCTCATCCGCCCAATCAGCGGCAGCATCCTCAGCAACACCATCAGAGCAGGTGCAATGTCACCAGCAGCACGAACCCTGTCATATTCATCATCAACAACAACACCACCCAAGGCATCATCAGCAGTGGCATTACCAGCAAACCCACCGGCCATCTCATTATAATCACCAAGAACAGCAGCATCATATGCATCGTAGTAGTCGCCATCGCCAGAAACAGCAGCAAACGATCACTAGCACAAGCACAACCATACTCAAACAACGCCAGCAGGAACGGCATCAGCACCATCATCATCAGCATCACCACCACGATCTCCGACGCCCGATCTCCGCCTCGCGCGCGAAGCTTGCGAGGACAAGCCGGCCACAGGGCGGACAGGCCCTGGCCGTCCTGCGGCCGCCGCGTCGGGCCTCAGAGGCGCCGGCCGCGCCGCGCGGCCCCGCGGGGCCCAGGGCGACAGAGAGCTCTCGAACTGGAGAGGAAAGGAAAAAAAACGACCAAACAAAAAAAAACTGTTCGCGACGGCGCGCGGGGGGGCGCAGGTCGCGCGCGACGGTTGCGAGGACGAGCTGGCCAAAGGGCGGCCGCGGGTGCCGGGGCGCAGCGGCGCGGCTTCCGCCGCGCGGCCTCACGGAGCCCACAAAGACAGATAGCTCTCGAATTATCCCAACCTTGCCGCTACTGCCACGCGTCAGACATGCGCCGCGCCTCCCGGGCGCGCTGGCAGCGCGACCGCCCAGCGCCGCGCGCTGCTGGAGCGAGCGGCGCAAGCCGTCGGGCGCGCTGTCGGCCGTCTGACAACGCGCGGTCGGAGGACACGGCGGCCGCGCCCATCCAGAGATAGCGACGCACGGGCGTCGCGCACCCCCAGCGCCCGCGGCACTGCAGCATCCCCTGGCTTCGAAACGAAAAGAACAAATGAATGGCCCCGCCCCGTCGCAGCGGCCCAGGGGCGCGGGGCGAGTCGCTGATGCCGACGAGGCCCCTGGGGCAGGTGAACCTCTGGGCGAGTCCGAACAGCTGCCCCGGGCGCAGCGCTGCAGTCGGCGGGAGGTGGCCGCGCCCTTGCAAGTCCAGCAGCACGAATCGTCGATCAGGACGCTATGGAATACTGGCACGAGCGCGCTCGCGTTGACGCCGCCGCCCAGGCCCCAGACGAGGCGCTGCCCGAGGGCGCTCGCGACCTCGCTGGGCCGCAGCAGCGAGCGAAGCAGCGAGTGGAATGCGAGGAGCAGGCGCGCCGACGTCGCCCGCCCCGCCCCTGCGCCCGGGCAGCGACGGCCAGCGCCGGGAACACCTCGACAGGAACGGGGGCGCACATCTCGACTGGCTCGAAGTTGCGCCAGCAAGCCACCACGGCCCATGCCAGACGCAGTAGGCCGCGGGTCTGGGGACGGCGAAACTGGGCGACAACTAAGGCCTCGGACCCCCAAGAATACGGCGCCTCTGCGTCGTACAAATACTGCGCGTAGGCGACGAGGGCGGCGTCGAGCAGCCCGATGCCACGCGCGACGTCGCCGGGGCGGGGGAGCCCTCCACTCCGGGGCCACAGACACTCCACTTGTCGAGCATGATGATATACTGACGGGCAGCGACCAGCTCGACGGCCACTCGAAGGGCCCGCCCAGCCTGCGAAGCCGCGCGCCGCGAGGCTGCGCCCCGGCGCGCGGGCGGGCCTTCTCCTGGACATCCGAGCCAGCTGCAGCAGATCCCCAGGGGCATCAGCAGCGCGGCGAGCGGCGGCGCATGCCGAGCTGCTCGAACGCCGCGCCGCACCACTCGCTGGAATACTCCGCCACCACCTCCGCCAGAAGCCGCCAGACGCCGCCCGCGCACTTGACGCCGCCCCCCAGGGCGAGGCGCTGGCGGCTGCGGTCGCATCGCACTGCCAGCAGGGGCAGGAAGGGCCACAGCCCTTCCAGGCGGTGGTCTTCCGCCAGCGCCTGCCCCGCCTGCGCCAGTCCATGACGCACTCGTAGAGCGGCCCCGCGCTGGGGGCCTCCTGGAGCTTCGGGGGCGCCCGCCGAGGAGATTGCCGCGGGCGCCCCCGCGCCCACGAGGCGCCCACGCGGTCGAGAGCCTTCGCGAGATCCAGCCTGGCCCCCACGCACTCGCTGCCCAGGATCTAAGCGGGGCGTTACCGAAGCCCCAGCGTCGGCCAGCGAGTCCGAGAGGGCAACGAGCATGAACCGCGAGAAGGCCCCGCAAGGGGGGCCAGGGCGGCCGCCATCGGTCCGATCCTCACGATGACGTCGATCCTGGGCAAGTGCGTCGGGGTGCCCACGAGGATCTCGAGCGGGCCGCGCAGCGAGTCGCGGCCGACGGCGATCCTGCCGCGGCGCTCACGGACCGCGCCGAAGGGGGATTTTGGCCCGATGGAAGCATCGAAGAAGACGTGCGGCCGGCGGCCAAAGACAGTGCGGGGCGCTCTCACGGCCCAGCCCCAAAGCATCTCGACGGCGGCAACCGACTCCACCACCTCGGGAGGACGTGGTCTGGCCTTCCGCATCTTGGCACCTCTCGTCGGGTCACGCGCAGGATCGCAAGCGCGACG